TATTCAGCTATTAAAATATAATATAAATACAGCTGATTCAATCGACTTTTGCATCCTATATGCATGGTTAAATCTTTAAATTTATCTATATTTAATTTCATACTAAAAAATAAAATTTTTTAATACATGTATTGTGTAGTGTATTAAATCAAATTATATACCCCAATTAATGTACTTTTTAAATTAATATGTTAAATAATGTATTGAACTAAAATGTGTATCAATTGGTATCCAAGAACAAAAAGTAAAATTTAGAGTAATAAGTCATTTGGTTCGAGGAAAGAAAAGGCAAAAGAGAAACTTTTTTTATTTAATTAACAAAATATTAGAAGAAAAAAAAAGAGGTTTTCTCTTATTATGTTTTTTTTTTTTTTAATTTAGTCTAATCAAACAGGAAAAAAAAAAGGAAAGGAAGGAAATGAAAGAACTTCTCTCTCCTCCAATTTTCTTTTAATCAAATAAAAAAATTGCCACCCTATATTAAATTGCCACGTCCATTGGTCCGTCTTTTGGTCCAAGTATTATTCCTTCCTCTCCTTTACCATTATCATCAATGAAAGCAAAAATAAAGTAATCTGTTTGTTTCTTTTTAATAGCACACATTATCCAATTGATTCTAATATGGTACTATAAATCACTTTATTAACATTGTCTTCTTCTTCTTCTTCTTCTTCTTCACTTTTTTTTCTACTTTAATTGATTCTCAATTCTTTTCTGGATACACTTTCTCTTCCTTACTTGGCCATGATAATAGGAATTTATTCCTCTCATTTTTAGTAGTTCATTATCTTAGATTCTTAATTAATACACTAACTATCTTAAAATAATTATCATTTTTTTAATCAAAAATCTTATTTTATATTAAAAATTATTAAGATCTTTAATAAATTCTAAATAAATACAGCCCTTTTAAAATTTTTAATAAAATTTTTAAAAAATTTTCCTAAAATCCTAAATAAATACTTAATAATAATTCAGTTAAAGAAAAATCATTAAAGAGGTAGAGGCCCAATTAAATTAGCTAATGTTTATGATTTGTACTTGATTTCAACCTCAAATCACTACTAGATAATTGCCTTTCACTCAGTAACTTTCACCAACGTTTATATACTTGTGGGTGATGTTTTATTTCACTAGCGTAATTCATGTCTGCGCGTACCCAATTGGAAAAAAGTCACATTAATTTACATGCCATAATAACGTTCAAATGCAAATTATGTCGGTGAATTTAAGTGGACTACATCGAAAAGTATTTTGATGAGCTAATTTCATTTTAACAAAATAGCAAGAGTACTAGTTATTGTAAGTAATATAATGATGAGAATAAAATATTGTTTCATAGAAATTGTAAACTAATTAAGTACTAAAATTAATTAATTTAAATTTTATTTGAACAATTAAAATTAAATGATTTGAGTGAATTAATAAATTAAATTAATTAAAGAAAAACTAAATTGAGTTTAAGTGACACAATAAAAGATGACTAAATGAAAAGAAAACTAAATTAATTTAGTCAAATATATAAAACTAAATTTTATTTGATTTTCTTTTCTTTTATTATGACTTTAAGTGGCTTTACTATAAATTGAATTTAATTTAGATGATTGCATTAGTTCATAATATAAAAAAAAAAGAAAATCAAGTATGCCATGATGAACATAAGAGTATTTGACATCATAAAACAAAATTCAAGAACAAAAAAAATTATTTTGATGATATAAAATCTCAAATCTTTGATCATTTTTTGATGTTCAGTTCTTCATTGCTATATCTCTTTTGGTCTCCAAAAGCCCTGAGTTTGGTTTTGAATAAGTATTTTTAGAGTTTAAGAAACCTCATTAAAAAGGAAGTGAAACCTATGTAAAAAATGGAAACTTTTAAAAGCTAAAAGTGCTTGTAGTATCAACACCACAAAGTAGGTGTCAATACTTTTTTTTTTTTTTTTTTAATTTCAATGGCACCTAATGCATGGTATCGACACCACAAAGTAAGTAGCGACACCAAAAAGTAAGTACCGACACCAAACCCAAATTGATTTTGAATTTTTTTGCAATTTCTTCAATGGTAAATTAGCAGATATGGTCATCCAACTTCTATACAATCAGCACATTGATCCTATAACTTTGAATTCAGTTATTTAAGTCTCTCAAAGTAACCTTTCTTCTTGTAATTCAATCCCTCAACAATCGAACCCCCAAATTTGACAATTAAATATGGGACAAGGACATATTCACCCCTAAACAAAAGTAGGGACAAATTGCCCCTTTAAGTTGTCAATTGAGACAAGTGATCCATTCTTTAATGACTGATGTTAATACTGCTCCCTTTTGATGATTACCATCACCATCTTCATACCTCCATTAAGAATTACCTTTTCCTCACCAA